GGATGCAGGTCAGGAGGCCAGAGCCCAGGCCACAACCTGCCCACACCTGCTGTCTTGGATCTGCCCCTCTCAGCCTGGCAGACCCTCCCGGGGGCACCAGGTCCATCTGTACCTGTGACGAGTAAGGATTTGGGGGTTTGCAGCCCAGAGTTGTGACCATGGGTTGCAGTCTCCCTCTCGTGGGAGGCTGCAGGTCTCCAGAATCTGAAGTGCCAGGGAGCTGCCTGGCAGGGGCTCCCTGGGCTCAGGCTCCGGGGAGCACCACCTTGCCCTCCTTGCCCTCCTGCCCTCTGTGGTCTCAGGGTTTTATCAAGCAGCCCCCCCCCCCCTCCCGGGGCCAGGCGAGGAGCCACTAGACCAGGTGGCAGTAACTAAACACAGTCTCATAAACGACAGGGTCAAACAGGCTGAGGGACTCCACACCAGCGTGTGCGCAGGCAGAGGAGGACCCCTGGAACTTTGAATGTCGCTCTTTCCACTGAAGTTTAACTGAAGTAATTGTGGATGCCACACGGCAGTGAGCAGTGGGAGATCCCAATGGCAGGGGAGATCCGTGCGCCCCTGCGGGGTCCCAGCCAGCTCAGTCAGGCCCAGTCCAGCCCCCTCAGAGGTCCCGGGGCTCCCACGGGCATCTGGCTCTGTGTCCAGGGTGGTCTGTGCACACCCAGCATGACCTAGGCCTGTCTAACCCCCGTGACCCCAGATGAAAGGGGGGCCCCTTGTCCTCAGGGAGCCCCCTCCTCCCCAAAAGTCACTCCCACCCCTGTGTTGAGGAGCCTCGGGCACCACACCTGCTTGTGGTCACTGAGCCATCGGGGCAGCCGCTGTCTGCTGGCCAGACTTCCTGCTGGGAGGGTGGACTTGCAGATGCCGTCAGCCCCTACCCAGCCATGGCACCAAGGGTGGGGCTCTGGGTGCTCAGGAACCGTGTCTGGTGGGCTGGCAGGGGCATGTGGCCTCCTGGGCCGGAGTAGGCTGTGCCCGGTGATGAGGACAAACAGGGTGGGGCTCTCCCATGGAGAGTCAGGGGCGCTGCGGGAGCGTGGTGAGCCCCGGGACTCCGCGACCTCTGGGAGGGAGCTGCTGGCTCAGGCTACAGGCCCTCCGAGGAGTGGGGGCCAGCAGGGCTGAGACTGCTGGGGCAGTGGGGGGTCGCCCCAGTGACATCCCAGGCCTGCATCCGTGTGTCCCCAGGGACCCCCACAGGGCCTTGCTGGGCACAGTGTGGGGGGCTGCCCGGGCACAGCTCTCTCTCCCTTCCTCTCTAAGGGTGTCCCCTCCCGGCAGCCCTTGTGCAGGCCTGTGACAGTGCCTGGCATACTTTCTGGGTTCCTGGCGGCCCTCTGCCTACACACGCGGCAGACCCTCCCCTCCACACACTCTACCACGCTCGTACACACACTCCTGTGACCACGCCCGCGTGACGCCCACTCTCCACTGGCGCTCAGGCCCTCACCCTCCCCTGTAGCCCTCAGAGCTCATGCCCACTCACAGCCCAGCCCACGAGGACACCCAATGGCGAAGGTCCCCCAGGCTCCCCGGCCTCCCATGGAGGCTCCCATCCTCTCCTCCAGGTGATAACAGCCAGGAGCTCGGGCTTCAGGAGAGGGGCTGGTGACCACCTGCCTACCACGGGGCCACAGGGTCGCGGGCAGCAAGGAGGCCCGCCAGCTGTTCAGACCCTGCCCTGGGTCTTACACACTTACCAGAGGTCCTAACTCAGGTCTCCCCACCACGTCTCTCCACACCCCAGAATCCTGCCACGGGTTTGCTTTCTCCGTGGGGGTCTCTGGGAGATGGTGGGGTGGCTTTGCTCAGGAAGTAGTCACCACACTGGGTGAGAGGGGACAGAAGGCTCCCTCTGTGAACCTGGGACCAGCCCTACACCAAAGGCTGGGCGGGAGCTGGGCGCGGAGAGGCCTGAGGACACAGTGGCTCCCAGCCGGTGCCTCCTTCCAGGGGCAGCTGGGTCCTCTGTCCTCGGACCTGTTTTATGAGCGCAGACGACAAGGCAGCAGGTCCACACCTGACCCGCGTGAGTCACACACAGTCTTGCATGAAGCTCTCCAGGAACAGGCCCAGTTGGCACCCAGTGGTTCTGGCAGGTACCTCTTGGAGAGTGTGTAGCCTTGGCTATGATTGGATTGCCGGGCTCGTGGGTGACCAAGTCTGGGCAGGGGCCCCCCCACCTCGACCTCTCTGAGCCCTCCCCTCCTTGCTTTCATTGTTTTGGTAGCTTTCCCAAAAATGAATCTGGGAATGATGGCCCCGGTCAAAAGCCCTAGCGTGAGACCACCACAAAACCCAAAGAATCCAGGCCTCTCAATGAGCTGATGGCCCACAGGTTCACCGCCAACGTCACAAAGAGCTGGTGTTCTTGGCACCAATTCCAACCTGCCAGGGATCAGCAGCCGAACCCGCGCCCACTGTCACGGAGGCCTGGGTGAGGCAACGTTGGCTTCAGGAAAGGCCTATGGGAACGGGAAGAGGGGCCTGGCAGCTCCCTGCCTGGGCTGACCATCTCAGAGGGCATCCTGGCTGGCACTGGTGGCCGGGGAGAGCTGATTTTTAAATCCCAGCCTCGGGTTGCCCCGGGCACCCGCGAGAGTAGAGCCGTCTGTGCTTGGCTCTGAGGGCTCCTGGGTCGGCCACAGGCCTGTGTTTTCCCCAGGGCCTTCGGGTTGCTCCTGACCCCTTATTTTCTCAAAATGTTTTCTGGACCCTGATTGGGCCTCCACGAGGAGTTCTCCCCTCGGCAGCAAGGCTCGCGAAATGGAGACCTGGGCTCTTCTTAGTGGCTGCAGGCGATCACTTAACCCCGGTGACCAGCAGGGACAGGAGGCCAGCTGGTGCACAGACCCGCCTCTCGGCAGCAGGGAACAGTCTCCCTCTCTCCCGCACGTTTCCCACCCGGGGAATTCAGCATGCCCTTGAGGCGCGGATTTCCTCCCAGGGGTGAGGGGGTCAGGCAAGCCGAATTCACACAGAAAATGAAATTCACAAGATGCACACGCACTTAACGCGGCCTCCCCCGCGTGGGGCACCCTCGGAGCACCACGAGGAGCCGGTGCTTCCTGGCCGTGCCGGGGGCAGAGGCAGCCCCACCCGAAGGAGCTAAGGAACAGAGTGCGGGGAACGTGGGCTTCCAAGGCGATTTTGTTTGTGAGCTCTGCGCAGTTACCAGCTCCAAATAATAAGGTGGCATGTTAATTACCCCCCTCCTAATTTACCTTTATGCCGCACACAGTCAACGGGAAGGTTTACGGGGGTGTTCTTTCAAACCTCAACAGCGTCGTCGGGCTTTTGGGAGGAGGGAACAAGGGCCGTAGTTCTGTTGCTGAATTTCTGAAAGGATCCTACCAGCCAATTAAAAAGGAACCGTTGGCCACTTAAAACATAATCATTACTTCTGTGAATGCTGCTAAATTAAATAAGTGTTATCCGCATGTTTTTTTTTTTTTTTTCCGAGACTTTGGTTTCTTTTGAAAGAAAACATTTTGTTACTTCTCGAGCGGATCTGTTTGCAACCGGCGTGAGGAATCTGAAATCGTTTTTCTTATGCTTAAAAGTTCTTGTCCCCTGAGGCTTCGCTTCACCAGCGTCGTCGGGGAGCAGGGAGTGGCCTCGGTCACTTCCACGGGTTTTCAGACCATCGGCTGGAGAGATGGGCAGCAGGCGCCAAGCCCCAGGTCTCCCACCGCTGGCCTCTGCCGCCTGCTCTTTCCTGACATTTTACCAGGTGACACTCTCGTGACTTGGGAGCCACCACTTCAAAGTGAGCAACTCAGGGGCACTTGGTGCATTCACCATGTCCCTCAGCCACCACCTTCACCCAAAGGACGCCCGCGCCCCTGAGTGGTCTCTCTCCAGCCCTGGCAGGCAGCGGTCTGTCTGCCCCGTGATCCGTCTGTCCTGGACCCTTGGTAGATAGACACGTGCAGGGGTCGGCTCCTCTCCCCTGGCTCCTTTAATTCTGCATAATATTTAGAAATATTTTAATGGACAGATCATGATTGTGTGTATTTACAGGACACAGTGTGAGGTGTCCTCACGCGCCCACATTGGGGAGTGGCCAGATCAGGGTGGGCCTTGGGGAGGGCACCGATGGCCGACAGGAGGAGTGGGTTCTGGAGAGCTGCTGCGGTGGCAGGGACTCCTTCCTTACCGGCTGCGCGCTGCATGTTTCAAAGCTGCTCTGGAGGGCGCGGCCTGCTCTGACACTCTGCGTGAGGCCACTGAGGTCAGTGCACAGGCAGCATGTCCACGCTCCCCTCCTTCTGGGGAGGGACCACGTCCCCTCACACAGAGGGGCCACAGGGTGTTCGTCGGCCCCTCCGCTGCGCGGCCTCTGGCCTGGGTCTACCGTGGGCTGCTGGTGGCAGATGCAGGGAGGGGTTCCTTCCTCTCCCACCAACCTCGGCCTCACCCTCCTGGGCTCCTCCTGCCCTCAGGGCCTCAGGCTCCTCTGCACACTCCAGGCGGCACTAACCCTCTCTTCGGGTGGCCCTGGGCCTTACCAGTGCCCAGTCAGCCCCTAGAGTGGCCGTCCTGTTGGGGCAGCAGCTCTGAGCAAACTGCGTGTGAACCCCAATCGTGAGTCCTTCCGAGACTGAGGACTGTCCTCCGCTGCCCCGTTCCTGGTTCCGAGAACCCCAGGGTTCTGCAGCAGTCATTCCACCGTCCTTTCCGGGTTGGCCGCTGCACTTAGGGCCCTCCCACTGTCCCGAGGCCTGTGAGGGGCAGCATCCCTCCCCTGCTCCCCTGAAGCAGGACCAGTCAGCACACCCCTGGGCTGTGGGGAGCACAGGCCCCACAGGAGCCTGCCTGGTGGAGCTCCCCAGAGCCAACCGCTTGCTTCAGGAGGGAGCAGAGGTGGCATCGGCTGGGCAGGGGGAGGCGGCCAGGGCCCAGAGGGCTCTGGGTGCCCTGGGTTCCTCCAAGGGCCCATGACCCTGGGGGGTCCCTTTGCCATGGAGGCTGACACTGCCTTATCTCTTTAGGTGACGGTGACGTTGTAAATAATATGTATGAGCCCGACCCGGACCTGCTGGCTGGCCAGAGTGCTGAGGAGGAGACCGAGGACAGCATCCTGTCTCCCATCCCCATGGGGCCACCGTCCCCCTTCCCCACCAGTGAGGACTTCACCCCCAAGGAGGGCTCGCCCTACGAGGCTCCCGTCTACATTCCCGAAGACATTCCGATCCCGCCAGACTTCGAGCTGCGAGAGTCCTCCATCCCGGGGGCCGGCCTGGGGATCTGGGCCAAGAGGAAGATGGAGGTCGGGGAGAGGCTCGGCCCCTGCGTGGCGGCGCCCCGGGCGGCGCTGAAGGAGGCCGACTTTGGATGGGAGGTGAGCATTCTGAGCTGAGCATGATTGATCACGGCCATTTATCTTGTGTTCAATCTATTTATAAAGCCGGGGAGCAGCCACTGCCCGAGGCGGGAGGCTCGGTGGGTCGGAGAGAGCGTTCGAATGTCACATTTCCCAGGGTTATTCTATCCTGCAGCTTTCATGACGCGACTCAGAAAACATCAGCGGGCCTCGTGGACGCCTGTCAGCCCCGATAGGCTGCAGCGCTCTCCGCCCGGAAATGTGTCTTTCATGAGCTCATGTCTTAAAACATCCCGTGCCTCCCGCCAGATTGTAGGTGCTAACGTGCCATCGTGGCGGAGCAGGGGACGTGAATGGATTGTCCCAGAGGAGCCGTCTTGACTCTGGGGCTCCATCGTAACCCCGGCAGCCGGGGGGCAGCTCCCCAAGTGTCTGCTGGCCGTGCATGTCCATGCCAAGGGCCTGCTGCCCAGTCCTTGCAGGGGCCTATTCTCAGGTCTCAGGGCCTCTTCCAGCCAGGGAGGGTGTCCTGCTGTTTAAATTTCCTTCCCAAGCCTCGGCTGGCCTTGATGGTGTTGGTGCCCGCGAGCGCCTGACCTGCCACGGGGGGTCAGAGACAGAGGGTGCATCTGCTGAGACGACGTGGATAACCTCCCACGGCCTGGCCAGGGCTGCTCAGAGCCAAAGTGTCCGGAGATGTCCTGCTCAGCCCTTAAGGGTTCAGAAGAACACTCTTTGGGGGGCTCTCAGATGGTCTCAGGGGAACTGGAGAGCTGCAGTGGCCCTTCCTCAAAAGCCCTGGCCTTTCTGCTGACCCTGTGCTGACCCTGGTTTGTGGGGTGTTTTTGTTAGGGATGCTGCAAATCCAGGTCCCTTCTGGTATCCACCACCTGCAGAGATGCGTGGGCCGAGGCTGTGCGGGAGGATGAGCGTCAGGTGGACAGGCTCTGCCCCCTGGGCCCTCCCTCCTGCCCTCTAGGGGCTTGGAGAGTTCCCCACACTGCCCTGCCCCTCAGCTGTCTATGCAGGTGAGGGACGACCTTGGCCTGAAGTTTTTCTTTCTCATGGCCCTTTATGCTCCCAAACGTACCCTAGAGACACCACAGGCACAGTGCCCTCTTCTGGACCCTCAGGGCCCCAGGCTCTCCCCTGGGCCTGCAGCACTCCAAGCCCTTTCTGAAGATATCAAGGAAAACTGGGCGCTAACGTGCCTGGGGTGTGGCTAGTGTCTACCCCCTGGCCCCAGAACTGAGGCAAGGGAGGGGTCTCCACGCTGTCCTGCAGGCAGGTGGGATGTGGCCCTGCTAGCGTGGGGACTCGTGGGGCCCACTGTTGTGGACTCTGGGGCAAGGCACGGGACACTTGCCTGCCAGCCCAAGCATCAGCTCTTGGAGGGCTTTGAGGTCGCAGGAGGGGGCCAGGTTGACCAGGTGGGTGGAGGAATGGGCGTGATGGACTTCACGGAGGTCCAAGGTGGTGGATGTACCCAGCAAGCTGGCATGGGGGGCCCGTGTGTCAGCTGCTGCCCTCCTCAGGAGGTCACCTTCAGGACTAACTGGCCAGGGGCCAGGAGCAAGGTGGGCAGAGGGGAGGGAGCTTGAAGTCACAGCCACGTGGGTGGGTGGCATGCCTCCTCGTGGCCAACAGGCTTGTCCTTCGGGGCCAGGAGAGCCAGGTCCAGATAATGTGGCAGGTGACATTTGGGCTGTGGACTGGACGTGGCTTGTATGCAGGGAGGGACTCCAGGGGGTTTGTCTGACCTACTTAAAAGGCCTGAGCTGTTTAATTAGTAGACGGCTTTCAGGTGCTTGAGGGTCAATGAACCCTGCAGGTAGCTCTTTGGATGACCTTGAGGTGACTTTGTTCTTGTCTGCTTTGATACAAGTTCTATTTGCTTTATTGGAAGAAATGGCCTGTATCGCTGTGACTCTGGTGCAGGGCACACAGGCTGTCCCTGTCACCCGCCGGCACCTGTTGACTTTGCAGTGTTGTTTGTTCTCTGAGGAGGTGAGGGAGAGTTCCTGCCCCACTGTGCCCCCCCTTCTGCTGAGAGCCCTGTCCCCCACGACGACCCCACAGCTTCTTGTCGTGCCAGCTTTTAGAGAGTCTGCCCTCAGCCCCGTCCTCAGGGCCTTCCAGATGCGCCTGTGCTGTCTCGTCTGACCTTGATCTCGAGTGGCTCAGGCACCCGTTGGCTTGGTGGTCCTCTCTGCCTTCCCTGCCTGCCACCAGTGACCGCGCAGTCCTCTGTGTCGTTGGGATCTGGTACCAGTGGCAGAGGTGCACGGAGACCACTGGGGACTCGTGGGGAAGCTCAGGGCGACCCCCTGTCTCCTGGGATCAAGGAGGACAGAGAAGCGCTTTCTTTCTAGCTCCACAGTCTCAGCCGGGCCTCGGGCGGGGAAAGCCACCCTCTCCTCCGGGCAGCCTGACCAGGACCTTCTACACAGTCCTGAGTGGTGGCTGTCGTTTTAGTGTCTCCTTGCCTTTCTGGAGGTCTGCAGGGCTCAAGAGAGACCAGCCCTGGCGGTGTCCCTTCCCAGGAATTCCCTGAGCTGCTTGGCCTGTGTGCCTTATCTCTTGATCACCGCAAGCAGGGCCTCCGAGCCCGGACGGAACACCTGGGACCCAGCGCCCAGGCCTCTGTGGTTCTGGCAGCAGAGGGCCTCCCGTCAGCCACCGCAAGCTGCTGGCGCACCAGGTGGCCCTGACCTGCCGGCTGCTCCGGCCTGTGCTCCTGCAGACGGAGGAGGTGGATGTCATGGGGCTGTGTCACTGTGTGAGCGCACCACCCACCGGGGAGCCCAGCAGGCCCAGGCCACACAGGGCTGGGCTCCCGATGGTCCAGACTTTAAACAGGACCCTCCACGCTCACGCTGTTCACTGTTGTCAACACGGTGTTCATCTACGGAAAAAGAATAAGTAACATTTTAGCAAAGATGACAGCTGAAAGCTAAGGAGGACCAGGATGGTTTTGTGTCCCCAAGGGGTGGCCAGGAGCACGGGATGGTGGCCAGTCTGAGCCACCATGAAGATACATAGGGCCAGTCGACCCGAGGTTTTGGGGTGACTCAGACCCAGACAAAGTTCTCCTCTCCCCGAGGCGGCAGGTGGTTCCTGCGCATGGGCAGGGACAGCCCACTCCAGGGGACCTTCCTTCAGCTGAGCAGCATGTGGGACCCGGCCGAGCCTCTCCTTCCACTGGTCACTTGTTTCTTAGGCCCCGAAGGCTGTTCCTCCTTCCATCTCCAACATGTATCAGGGACATTCAGTGTCTTTAGGCCACCCCATGGGGTGCTTTGGGGCCACCAGGACGTGACTTCTTGCCATTTTGGAAGGAAACACGCCCCCTGCCGGATGCCCATGCCTGGACCGGGTGGGCTATGCCCGTGTGGGCTTGGGTGCCTGGAAACGCTCGCTGGACTCTTTCCCTAGGGGGCTCTGTCAGGAGGGCGCCCCAATTCCCACTCCCCTGCTGCCTGACGCGCCGGGCTCAGCCGCCTTTCCGCCGTGACGCAGCCTACTGTTCGCCCTCCCAGAATAAATCACCCCATGATTGCATTTTATTGCCCGAGGGTCTGCAGAACAATGATTTTGATCATCTGTTGAGTAAATCGTGACATTTATCATCGCACTGTTTATTTTGCTAATTAAGAGACGGTGGCAGTGACAGCCCAGAGACAGCCGGCCCTGGATGGGCTGCTTGGAGGCCACCTGCCCCAGGCAGCGTCTGCAGCTGTGCCAGCCGCTTGGGCAGGGAACGTGGCTGGACGCCGGGGCAGGCCCCAGAGCAGGCGACCCTAGACTTCAGCCACGGTTTCCTCCCAAGTCCTGTGGGTTGCTTGCTGGGGGCACCCCAAAGCCCTTCTCATGGCCTCCCAGGCTTGCTGTAATCAGCACTTGAGTGTCTTCTGCTGAAGGAGGGCGTCTGCCTGTGTTGGAGAAGCTGCTAAAGAATGTTGCTGTGAACCGACGGGTTTCAATTATCTGGAGAATTGACTCAAGTGGACTGCGGCATCCCCTGGCGCGAATGACTGAATATTAATAGACACGTTCGTTTGTTCAATCAACAAACCATCTGGGCCTGAGCCAAGGCCCCTGGGAAGCTGCAGGGTTCCTGGGAAAGCAGCTTGGAGGCTTTGGGCTTCCCCGATTCCTCCGTACCACAATCTCAGGGGCTTCTCCAGGGACCCCAGGAGAAGGGTCAAAGCCTGTCAGTCACCCCCTGATGGCCAGAGATGCCAGGGCTGGGGGACACCATGGGCACCATCCGCCCCAGCCCTGTCCTCTGAGATTCTGAGACACTTCTGCCCATGTAACACCAAGTCATTATTGTCAACACCAGCCTTGAAGGGAGGGGGTGCCCAGGGTGTCCCCAGCACAGGGCGTGCACACCTCTGTGCATTCTCCAAAAGCAAGGTGGCTCTGGCTCCTGGTAACGGCAGGGCTGTCTGTGCAGGGTGGCTCAGCCTGCAGCCTCCCCAGGATGAAGGTCCCCAGCAGACAGCTAACGGCAGCTCGACTCGTGAAACAGCCCCGAGGAGCGGCTGCTTCAAGCACCAGCAGCATGTCCCAAAGGCCCCAGGGCTGTGGCCAAGGCCAACCTGATGGCAGGCGGGCAGAGGGGGCACCAGGCTGGGCCTTGGCCTCAGCTCCAGGCCCCCGGGGCAGCTGAGCCTCCCCTCCTCCTTTTTGGGACCTCACGCACCCTCACCACAAGCCCGGTGCTCTCCTCCCCCCTGAAGGTCTTCCACCTGCCACCCTGGGGTGATGGGGTGCCCCGGGGCAAGGCCTCCAGTCTGCACAGGGGCAACCTCCTCCTGAGGGCCTCCATGTCTCTACCCTGCCTGGGCGTGGAGGTTTGGGAGCAGCTTCAGTGCCTGTTGTGTTGGGTGACTGTGGGGGATGCTTCTTCTGTGGGCTCTGGGAGGATCCTGACGAGACTTTCCAGCTCTGGGTTCATGGCGGGGCTTGGGGCCTTAGAGGAGACCCTGAGGAGACGACCACTCCCCCTGGAC